TTAAAAGAACGGTTTATTTTTGCTCCATTTTGGAGATTCAGTCCATGGTTGATGAGGCAGCACATCATAGTGGCTGGAGATGGAGGGAGAGAAGGTGGGGAGGGAAGAAAGGACCAGTGTCCCAATATCCCCTTCAAGGCCATGCCTCCTGTGATCTAACTTTCTCCCATCTCTTAAAGGTGTCACTATCTACAAATAGTGCTATAGACTGGTGAACAAGACTTTAACACATGAGCCTTTGTGGGACATTTATTCAAAATAACAAATAGCATTATTTCTTCTGTAGACACAGAAGAAATTCCAGTCTTACTTTCAATGGTGGGAAAGGGAAGGTCACCTTGCAGGAGAGCATGTGGGATGGAGGACATAGTTGTAGCCATTTCTGGGAATATGTTCTGCCATTCTTCCTAGCTTATTAATCTAGAATTCAATTTGTTTATTTTCTTGGTTGATTCTTGACAATGTCTTTTGATGTACATTAAACACTTAGAATCGTGCTTGGCACACAAACACAGAATGAGTACTTATTAAATATTTAACAAATGGTGTCTGAGCCACTGTGTACAGATTGTTTCCTATCCCAGTGGTGTGAGTGTAATTGCACTCCTGATTTACAGTCTCCTCCTCCTCTTACAGACCCTAATGCTCCGTAAGGGCAGGTGTCTTTCCTCTGTATTCACTATTACATTGCTCAGTGCCTACCAAGCCCTCGGTGCTCAATGACAATGTTAAATGAGGGAGATAGGACTGTGTTTGAGTTGGGATCTCAATGATAGATAGGATTTTTGCTAAGGAAGGGAGGTGGAGGGAATAAAGGCAAAAGAAAATAGCAAAAAGGGAAGGGTAAAGGTGAATAAAATGGACCATGAGCCCACAGAAGCTGACTCCTACCTAATTTGACCTGTAGTCGGTTTCCTATAGTCCTTAATGGATTCCAGTGGTCATGTGCTCAGTAAATGTTTCTTGAATGAATGTCAAGGGAGAATGTAACACATAAACTTATCCATGGATTTTTGGTGGGGTAAAGATAGATAAATTCAATTATAAYTGAGGAGTTGAAAGAATATTTGAAATACCCAGCAGTTTTTAGGAATTGAAATACAGTCACACTTTGTATCTTTTGAACTTAACAAGGGTTACTCCATTTATATATGTCAAATAACTTTGTCAGGGTAGAGTAATTTATATTCTTATGTTGTTTTCTTGCCACTTATGTGCCTGAGAGAATGTAGCAAAATCCTTAGGGTCAATTCCAAAAACTTAAACTAAATCTTACAAGGGCAAGACTAATTTTTAGGTCAAGGGAAAAGAACAAGCCATGCATCTTTCATAGGGATAATGAAAATCAATAGCAAGACAGAATAGTTAACCCCACAGGTGAAACACAATTAAAAAAAAATTAACAGATATTGTACAATGATAATCTAGGAATATCATTATGCATCCTTTCCTTAAAATTTTGTTAACCATTTATTAAAAGTTAAAAAAAGCAGCTATTTAAACCTTTAGAGTCTTAATCCATAGAAATATTCAATAACAGAATATGGTATTTGCTGCATATTAATAAATGTGTGGCTCTTGTAGTTTTTATCCATATTGGGATTTAAAAAAACCCTCAGATTTAGCTATAGAGTTACATTGAACACTTCCTTTCTTTGGCTTCATTTTATATGAAGATACTAACAAATGGTAAGGGTTTTGTACAAATGGTTATATATATAGACTCAGCTATTGGTTTAACATATATGCCTTATATATGACAGTTATACAAAAATCATGGCAGTTCTCATATTTGTGCTTTTTAAAATTTTAAAAAATATTTTGGTGATGCTGGGGATTGAACCCAGGACCCTGGGATGCTAGGCAACACTGTACCACTGAGCTGTACACACAGCCCTAAGGGCAGTACTTGAGGCRCAAAGCAACTTACTCTTCCTGAGCTGACATCCTGTTAACAGGGCAAAGCTGTTAAGCACAGCTGCTACTATATGTAAGAGCTCGAGTCAGCCTTCATCAGCCTTCACTGGCAATCTCTGGCCCTGGAATGTTTCTGATCTCAGAGTGGCCATATGTCTCCCTGCACCCTGAGTGCTTTTAAGATGTATTGTTAGCACAGATATCTCTTCTTGATCAATGTGTATATACACGTTTTCACACACCAGTTAGCTTTGTAGCTTTGTACTTCTATCGCACAATGTTCAAGAATGAGAGTCTGTACCCAGGCTTTCCAGCATATTTCCAAACATCTAAAGAATCTGTTTCATCACTTCTGAAAGGGAACAAGACAGTGATTCCTGAGGTCTTCTAATTGTACATCCTACAATGAGGTAAACCTACAGTTTCCACATTTGAACCACCATCTGCCTTCACCCCAATTATCTTGTTTCATTTGGCACAGAGCTACCATTTACAGCCACACACTCCACAGTAGGGACATTCTTCAAAGATCCTCCTGTGGCATTAGGAAGGCCAGATGGTAATATTTTCTGTTGGCACCTTTTTGAGGCTTAGATATTTTCTTTAGAATGTTCCAGAAAATTACCTGGTCAGCTACACCAACATGTCCTACAGTATTTCTCTGCACACTGGGGAAGGTGGCCTTGAGGTTGGACAGCACGTGGCCCCTGGTCATCTTCTCTGCGGCTGCCTGCCATGCTTTGCCTGGGAATATGTTCTGCCATATCCTTGCCAACACTGCTCTGGAGACCTGCCTCACTGCCTCCATCACACTGCCAAGGCCAGCAGGAATGATATCCAGTCAGCATGGTGCCCAGGCCCTTTACCTACCTCCTGGGTGAAGAGGTTGAAGTGGTCATCCAGGACACCTGGGGAGGCTGGGAATCATAGAGCACCCCAAGTCCCAGCTGGTGCTGCAGGGTGTTCCCACTGGGGAACCAGAGCTGCCTCATCAGCTTCACATCATACCCAGTGCCCACACCCTGCTGGCCAAGAGGCCAGCACAGGGCCTACTGTAGAGTTTTTTGTTCATTTTATTCCTAACAATTGTTAACAGGTTACAGTTTACATGATGTACAGTTCACCGACTCAAAGTGCACAGTTCAATGGCTTTTAGTATAATTACAGATACATACAACCATCATTGCTTGCTAGTTATATAATTTTTTTCCACCTCAAAAACAAATTCTACCTTTAGCTGCCCTTCTTCTTGCCCCATATCCTCCTGCCTGTTCCTTCCCCAAGCATGCAAAAATCACTATCCTGCTTTCTCTAAGTTTCCCCGTTCTGGACTTTCATATGAATGAATCGTGAAGTATGTGATCTTTTGTGACTGGCTTCTTTCCTTTGCATAATGCTTTCAAGGCTCATCCATGTTGTGTCAGTACTTAATTCCTTCTTAGGATGGAATAATATTCCTTGGTATGGATATACCATGGTTAGTTTATTCACTTATGGAAATTTAGATTCTTCCCAACCTTTGGCTATTATGAATAATATTGCTAAGGATATCTGGGTATACATTTTTAAAAAATTTTATTTATATATGACAGCAGAATGCATTATAATTCTTATTGAAATTATACATCTAGAGCACAATTTTCACATCTCTGGTTGTATACATAGTATATTCACACCAATTCATATCTTCATACATGTACTTTGGATAATAATGATCATCACATTCCACCATCATTAATAACCGCATGCCCCCTCCCTTCCCCTCCAACTCCTCTGCCCTATCTAGAGTTCATCTATTTCTCCCTGCTCCCGCTCCCTATCCTACTATGAATTGGCCTCCTCATATCAAAGAAAACATTTGGCATTTGGTTTTTTGGGATTGGCTAACTTCACTTAGCATTATCTTCTGTAACTCCATCCATTTACCTGCAAATGCCATGATTTTGTTATATTTTGTTGCTGAGTAATATTCCATTGTGTGTATGTGCCATATTTTTTTTATCTGTTCACCTATTGAAGGGCACCTAGGTTGGTTCCACAGTTTAGCTATTGTGAATTGTGCTTCTATAAACATTGATGTGGCTGTGTCCCTGTAGTATGCTGTTTTTACGTCCTTTGGGTATAGACCAAGGAGAGGGATAGCTGGGTCAAATGGTGGTTCCATTCCCAATTTTCCAAGAAATCTCTATACTGCTTTCCATATTGGCTGGCTACACCAATTTTCATTCCCACCAGCAGTGTATGAGTTTCCCCCACATCCTTGCCAATACATTGTTGTTTGTCTTCATAATAGCTGCCATTATGACTGGAGATGAAATCTTGGAGTGGTTTTGATTTGCATTTCTATAATTGCTAGTATTGAACATTTTTTCATGTATTTGTTGATTGATTGTACATCATCTTCTGAGAAATGTCTGTTCAGGTCCTTGGCCCATTTATTGATTGGGTTATTTGTGTTTTTGGTATTTAGCTTTCTGAGTTCTTTATATTGGTATACATTTCTGTGTGGATCTGCTTGTGTTTCTGTTGGGTTCACACCAACGGCTGGTTTTCTGGGTCAGATGGTAACTGTGGCATTGTTGGAGGAACCACTGGACTATCTTCCAAAGCAGCTATACTGTTTTACACATCTGTATGATGGTTCTGTTTCCCCACATCTTTACCAATACTTGTTGGTCTGACTTTTGACTCTAGCCATCCTAGTGGGTATGAACTGATAGATTTTTGAAAGGAATGGGAAGAGTTTTCCCTTTCTAATAGCTTTTAACTACAACATTTTTTAAATTTTATTTTTGGTACTCCCTTGCCTATCATGTGTTTGAAAGAAACAACAACAACAAAAGATTGCTATAAGGTCCTGTTGCCTGTCAGAATAATAAAGGAGATGTCATTATTTGTTCAAGATTTTTATTGAATAAAACCCATGATGAGATACTGTTTAAAATGGGTGAGATGTGCGGGAGAAAGAGTTGGTGGAGAAGTGGGGCAGGTGATGTGCTCCTCGGGTGTCTGTCTTCTTCTGTCCCAGGAGACTGCCTCCCTTGTGGCTGGTGTTTCTAAAAATGAGCCCCTTTGCCTTTCAGGAGGACTGGCGTTGGCCCAAGTGCTCTTCTTCTATGTGAAGTACTTGGTGCTCTTTGGTGTCCCGGCTCTGCTCATGCGCCTGGATGGACTCAACCCACCGCCCCTCCCCCGCTGCGTGAGCACCATGTTCAGCTTCACCGGGATGTGGAGGTCAGTCGCATGGTTTCCAAAGTCCTTCAGGGGGTGTCTGGTGGGAGGAACCACAGCTTATTTGGCTTCAAAGAGTTTGAGTACTGTTTGCTCTTCCCCTTACTCAAGCCCCATTTGGCACTTCAGTTTCTTTGTCCCACTACTAGAGCGATGATCCAGGCTTTCTGTGCCTCTCAAAATCATCATTAAGCTCATGAAGACGAGTTTCTCACCAAGTCTGTCCGCCAGCGCACAAAAGGTTATGTTTGAAGTGATTTCTTACTAGGGGTGGGCTACTATATATTATTTTGAAAATGATATCTGTAGTTGATCTAAAATACAGTGTCTCAAGATGATAGAATAGTCAGGGTGGCTATTTGCTAGATCTGGGTGACTTGACTAAATCTTTGTTTTAGTTTTCTATCTCTTCAACAATGATAAAGATAACACCTATCCACGGGAGTTGTTTTGAAGATTATATAAGCTGATGCATTTAGAACAGCTGGCACATAGCAGATATTTACACATTAGCTTTTAGCTTTATATGTTTCCAATGCTCAGAGCAGATGGATAGAGAGGTGTTTTTTGAGTTCTTTTACTATTCTTGATTTTTATCCCATAAAGTAGGGTTGGCCTGGATGTTGTTGTTTGTTCCAGGAGATCCCTCAGCCCCACACCCCCATTGTTTGATGGATGTTTTACAGATGGACTTGCTTGTGGCTGTTTCTCTTATACTTTCAGTGTAGAACAAGTGACAGGAATGCTTTTGCAATTGCACACCTAGTGGATAAAGCTCGGGGTTGGCACTGGCTCAACCTTAGTCAGTGCCTCCTTAAAATTTGTCCTCTGAATACTTCATCGGATTCCTCTGGTCCTGGTCAGAATTTTCATTCCTATGACCTGTTCAAGTCTCAAATTTTCTATCAGGGAAGAGCTCAGTGAACATTGTCCTACCTAATGTTGCTCTTCAAAAGGAGGTGGGCTGCACTCTACAAGCTGGTTTACCATAATAACTACTTATAGATGCTGAAATTATCTGTCTCTTTCAGTGCAAAATCTAGTTTGATTTGGGGAGAGGGTTAGAAATTTCATATGGCGATTGCAGGGAATGTTAAGTAATTGCTTTGATTGGTCCTTAATTACTTCATTGAATACCAGGTTGCCCTGTTTTCATGGCAAGATTAGAGAAGGCTCTCCCTAACAAGAAGGCCATGGAATAGCTTTTTGTTTAAAAAGTGGACCTGATTGGAAGCTCCATTAACTTTCAACCTACCCATAAATGTAATTTCCTGAATCAATGGGTTGGGACCCACCATGATTTGGGGACATGACTTAAATTTTGTGAGCCTAGCACAGCTTCTGTGCCTCTGCGGTGTGCATGCCTGCGCTGATGCATTCTTGGAAAGCACATTCTCCTTGGGGACTTTTCAGTGTCCACTTGTACCATAAAACCGTGACTCTTGTAGCAGGCCTGCCTCCAGGCTCCTGATCCAGAAATACCAACCCATTGATTGTCACAGAGGCAGTTTAGACAATTGACTACGTTTTTTATACTCGGGCTGCTTGTCTTGTCCTTTGTTAATTCTTTCTGTCCCAGAAAGGCCCCTAGTTCCACATGAAGCATGGGGGAGGGGGTCGTGTCTACCAAGAGTTTTTTTTTTTAATTGTCTTGATTAGAAAGGATTCAAATAGTTTAGACTACAGGCTATTGAACCATTCTCTCCTTCATCCCAATTAAAATTTTAAGACAAAGATGGGGAAGAGAATAATAATGAAGTTACATCAGGGAGGAAGCTCTAAGTTGACCCTTTGGAGTGAACTCGTTCCGAAAGATATTTACAAGGGCAGGTGATAAAATGACCAAAGGGTGTTTCTGGGAGCTACCTGGACTCCTGTCCTAGTTTCTTTATTCTACAAGGATGTAGATTTAACCTTGTGTGGTTTTAAGTTTCTTGAAGAATTTTCTAGTTTGCCAATTATACTTACAAACACTTAGATTATTGTACACAACAATCATTTTATATTAAATGGTTGAATTTAGGAATGAAGGTTAACTGTCCCTGAGCTATAGGGAATAATGGAAGGCTCCAAAATAGTTGAATTAAAAAAATTATTTAAGCTTTTGTGCTGTTTGCAAATGTTCCTTCATCCTTAGGAAGATGTTTATCATGTTTCATGTTCGGTATTTGCTAGCATAACCTTGACCCTGGTCCCCAGTTTTCAACTTTTCTCTTTAGCAATGCATATTTAGGGAAAACAAGTTTTGAATTGGTATGTCTATTAACAGCTAAATTCATGCTAATATTTCTGGACTATTGAGGTGTTGCCACAGACAGGAAGTGGCTCCCTCTTCCTGGATTTAGGTCCAGAAAGAATTTAATCATGAGCAGATGGGAAAGCTGGTGATCCAGATTATTCCACTAGGCCATAGAAGTCTTTATACAGTAGCACGAAGGACAGGGTGGGTGGGAAGTGGAAGCAAGAGATTTAAAACAGTCTCTGGAGATTACTTTATGATTATCTGAACTTGTAGGAAATCTATACTGAATGGRGTTTAGAACTTATGAGGAGAGATGAATTTTTAGCCCACCATGTCAGAGGCACCTTTTATGCCTCTGGACACAGTGCTGATCGATTGCACCATCTTTCAGTCCACTTAGCATTGAGAGAAGACTTGAAGCTAGCAGTTTGCCCCTTTGATAGGAATCTGAGCTCTACATCATAGAACAGATGAAATTGGCCATCAGCAGAGAGATAATCTTCCCTGACACGATAGTTCAAATTGGCCATGAGAAATTGCCATTCACCCAGATGGCCAAACCTTAAAGTTAGGACCTGATGAATCTTTTTTTTTTTTTTTTTTTTTGCCCCGCTCCTGGCTCTCTTTCATAGAATTACTGTTGAAATAGTTGCAGGCACAGCAAAGCCCTCAAGAGTATGCGTATTCCCACTTGCTTGATTTCCCCCCCCCCCCCGGGGTCACACAGACCAGAGAAATTGAGAATTTTCTGCTTTAATTTTCATGTTTTAATTTAGATGGGTTGAGATCTATAATGAGTATCTTTTTCCCAGGGTCATTAAATATGACATTGCATGTCTGAGGTTTCAAATTAGAAATCTGATCATGCCCCTCTGATTTGCTTTCTAGTTATGGAAGCAAAACTTGCAAAGTGACAGAACTTCCCATGGTGGCTGGTGAGTTATGGGTCAATTTCAATTATCCAGGAATCTTGCCCTCTGCATTTTTTGACTTGCGATGCTCTCAGGTCTTCACACGCAAACTCATGCATCACTGCTTATCACAGAAGGATCTAGGTGCTGTTTGGTGGCTGCAAGACCTTAATATATGGGGGATATCTTTAGCCTGGAAGGAGGAGGAGTCTGAACCCCCTCTTCTGTTCAGGCTCCAATTGCATGGGCTGGTAGTTCAATAGAAGAATTTAGTTTCCTAGGTTGGTTCAGGCATGTGGTAGATGATAAAAGCACTGTTAGATGCACAGCAGAGTTAGGATAAACCCAGAAGAAAGGTGAAATGGGTATTGTTCCTTTTTTTTTTTTTTTTCCTTTGGTGAGACAGTCTAGTGACTAAGAACTTGCTGCTAACTACTTGGGCAACTCGTTTAAGTTCTAGGCCAATCCTTCCATTTGTAAAAAAGAGGATAATACTATTTGTCCCAGAGGTATGATAGGAGCATTAATTGAGCCTGACATGAAGTACATCCTCAGGTAGTGGCAGCTTCTCAATTTTTTTTTTTGATGGGGGAGAGTTGAAAACCTAACAAAACCAGAGGTGACTGAGAGGCCAGTCTGCTGATGGGTCAGGTTGGAGAAGTGGTGAGTTAATGGGATGGGTGAGGGAAAGCTCCATCCAGCTTGGAGCTAGAGATGTGATGATTCATAGACTACGGTGATAAATTCATGGGTTCTGCCCTCAAAAGAGGACCCAGGGTCAAGTCATTTTTGTCTCATTTTCCTCATCTGTTGAATGAGACTATGAGCAAAATCCTAGCACTAGATGGTGCCTATGCTCCCGACCGTCTTGCTGTGGCACCTGCCACAAGGCACAGGTGCCTCCACTCCCAGTACCCACATCATGGGCAGGTTGTTAACCTCCTCATGCCTCAGTTTTCCAAGATGCTAAGATGGGGCTACACATAGTATTGCTTCACTGKGTTGTAGTATTAAGAAAGATCATACACTAAAGTGCTAAATCCTGGGCAAGCATATCATCAAAGCCAAAATATTCACTAATAATTGTCATTACAGTTAAGAAAATTTTCCATAGTTTATTTAATTTCTCAGAAAAGCCTGGTAGGGTGGTTGAAGTGGGGAGAAAAGGTGGTAGTGATGGGTGATAGGTAGTATGTGAAAGATGTGGGTTTCAAAATGGAAGAATGGGGTTCCTTGTATCACCTCCTTTACCCTAAGCAGAACTCTTAAAATGACTTTGCAAGTGGTTTCCAGCTACTGGACATTTATATGACCTCTTTTTACATCTTAGTCAATGCTTTCTCATGATTCCATGTCAACAGACTCAGAAAACATTTTCCTCCTTCTAACATTTATGTTTTAACACCCCTTTCCTTTTTCTCCAAGCGCAGACTTCATAGATCAAAGTAGGAAGGAAATACCAAGTTGAGGCATATTTTATGAACCATGATTATGTTTTGCTTCCTGGAATTTATTTTTGCTTCAAAGATAGTCTGTCCTCTTCATTTTCTCTGGAAGATTTTTTWATTTTTTTTTCTAGCTCCCTTTACTGCTGATAAGCTCTTAGACTGAAAGCTTCTAGAGGAAGAAGAGTCTGACATAAGGAACAGCAGGATACCTTCATTTAGAAGGTGTCAGTCACCAGAGCGTGGTGTTTGCATAGATGTGGAGTCAGATGGCCTGGGCTTGGATCTTGYTTCCACTACTTATTAGCTAGTATCTTCTCTCCATCCTTGGTCTCCTTCTCTTTTAAGATAGGGATATTGTACTGCCTACCCCATAGAACCAACACATATGGTGCTCACACATTG